TACAGAGCTTTGCATGCCAGGATGGAGACTGTAGCCAGGAGGTTTATTAAACTGGATGCACAGCGAAAACGCCTTTCTCCGGGTTCAAAAGAGTATCAGGTAGGTGGAATGTTCTTGGACTGGTTTTCATTTCTCACCATCCCATTAGCCTTAGACCAAGCTGTCTTGCTTTAGGAAACAAATGTACTTGAAATAGTTCTTAAATAAGTAGGCACAGTAAGGGGGGGGGGGGGGAATGTATTCCATTATAATATATAATGTATTGTGAAGCATACAAAACACAACTAAGTAGAGTACGTTTTCTGCAATTGTAAGAGACACCAATGTTACATTCTACTAACTTAAATCATTATTGTGTTTCCTGCTCTCATTAAATTTAGAAGAAATCTTCAGTTATTGAATAATTAAAATATAGTACTGTGTCTTGCTTTTAATGATAGTGTCAAACTACCCATATTATTTTGTACTTTGATTTTTCTTTCTACTAGTACAATGCTTCATAGAGAATCTTTACATCAGCCCAGAAAACACTTTTGGTTTGTTTGCTTGTTTGTTTGTTTTTACTGTCCTCTTGATAGCCCTTGTATAGCCGGAGTGGCATTCCCATAGTGTGTATTGTCCTTCGCTGGGCAGAGCTGCTAGCCTTGTGTCTGTCTGCATCGTAGCTCAGGCAGATAGACCTGCAGAACTTGTAGAATTGCTGAGTCAATTTTGCATTTGCTATTTTGATAGCTTCTGCCAAATTGCCTTCCATAAAAATGTTATATCTCCTCATCAATATTTCCCATACCTTGCCAGATGCCAGTTAGATACTGTACTGCCCCCTCAAAGGCCTTCTCTTCTCATTTCTAATTTTTAATTTTGCAGAATGTTCATGAAGAAGTCTTACAAGAATATCAGAAGATCAAGCAGGTGGGTATCACCATTGTGCCACCTGGCCTGCAGTAAGAAGCACTGTAGATTCTGTGACCTAATTCCTCACTGTTTTCTTTGTCTGCAGTCCAGTCCCAATTACCATGAAGAAAAATACAGATGCGAGTATCTTCATAACAAGCTGGCTCACATCAAAAGACTAATAGGTGAATTTGACC